ATCTGCCATTCTATATCGTTCAAATTACAGTACATAACATTGGGAGGCTATTCGTAGAAAATTATATGGTAATAATGAACAACATATTATAATTTCTACCAATAGTCACCTGTGTGTTTTCCGTCATTCCAGTACAGGGACAACTGGGAAACTCTTCAGCTTATCAAAAAACAACTTTCACTGCTCAAATCTTACAATATATCAACAAAAGGAAATATCTATAGGAGAAAGTTGCACTAAAAAACATACGAATAAGTTTTTGGAAGTTCCATGAGAAATAATACAATTTTAATACAATTTACCAAAATTAGACAATACTCATCTTTTTCATTTAAAAGAAAAATGCATGACAACTGCAATGGTGAAATTGCATGGGAACATTTTGACACATATTTGAACGACCACAATATTTAAAAGAATTCAGGAAATTATAATATTTATTTTGGATGGGAGAATTTGAAAATATAGTTAGCAAACAGGTTTTTTTACAACACAGAGTTACATTATGTTCATTTTAAAGCGAAAATAACCGACGGACGTGGTGGCCAGGAACATCGCAACCTGACATTATTTGACATATATTTAATAGCTTTAATTGCAACGTTTAAACAGTTTAGGCGAAAAATAACCGGACAGCCCCGTGTGGCTAAGGATAACTCGCAACTGGAAGTTTTGTATGGACATATTTTAGACAGAATTTTAATTTTGGACAATTTGAAACCAGCATTTTCAATAGCATTGGGAACCATACAGTATGTGTTTTGGAAAGAGTAATTGTAATTTAATAATAATGTTTAAGTAACACTGGAAATATTTTTTAAACAAATATTACACAACAAGATTTTTAATTAAAACAATTTGTTTACAGTTTGCGAAAAATAAACGCGACAACCCGCCGTGGCCCGAGAGCGCCCCAGGACATCGCACCTGAAATTATTACGACATATTTGACAAGTGGAAACAGCAACTAGCAAATGGGAGCCACCAAGAACTTTTTTTTTATGGTAGTAATTTCTTGATATCTTGCATATGTTTTTTCGTCTGGATTTTACTTTAAAAAGTAAACGGTTCCTTTGAAAGACAAAATGTCTTCAAAAAGTTGATCACAAAATTATTCATCCCTTTTTTTTTTTTGTCAATTTTTTGGGGAATTTTTTTTTAATTTGAAAATTATTAAAATTAACAGTGGAAATGACAGCAAGCAGTATCTATTAATAAATTGGGTCATATTAAAATTTACCTGGCAAGTTTTGATTTTTTGTATTGTTGTTGTGGATATTGTCTATAAAATGCTCTATTTACAAGCAGTATCCACCTGTGATGCCCTTGTTTTTGCTTGTTTGGGATTAATAATTTCATACTTTAGAACTTAAGTAAGATAAACCAATTGCATCTAAATGAACATCCAAACTTAATAATTCTTGGATATTTCAAGGGCGCATTACGCTTCGATGTATGTTGTTTTTTCTTCTGAAGGGCAAATATGTTTTTAAATTATGCTTGTTCATGAAGGGGGTATGCTTTATCAACCGACAAATATAGTTATATAGATTAAAGCGCCATCCCCGTTAAGTTTTAAACGAAGTTTTAGGTATTGACCAATGGTAAATTTTTGAAACTAAGAACATTAAAAAACTTAAAATGAAAGGGTATTATTTTTAAGGCTGAATTTGGCCCCGAATAATACTTGAAAGTAGGGCCTGTCATTTGGATGGACCAATTTTGTATCGATATATCAGAGGACATATCGACCATATATCACTCTTTGTTAAATAGTAGATAAATGAAAAACATGTTAAATATGTTGTTTAAAATTGTGATCCTTGTAATTTATGCATGTACATTACTACAAACTAAACAGAAAAGCTTTGTTTTTTTGTATTTTTGTTACTGACATTTGAAAACAATAAGGTTTAAGTTTTAGTTAGCCAAGAAAAAGTGGAAAAGTCATTCTCTATTCAGGCAATTTGATAGAGAGGGTTATATTCAATTAACATAATAATAATTTTAGGCTTGTTCGTATTTGAAAGTGTGTCAGTAATTATAGTTGTATGATGAATATCGATGATAGTATCGATATGTGATATTCAATGACAGCCTACTTTAAAGAAGTTTATTTTGCTTTAAGGCAAGGAGTCCAGAGAAAAGAAAGGGAATATATTAAAGAAATATTGAATATGTAACTGTTAGATTAAAGAATAAAAATTTTTAACACCAATTTTTTCATTCTTCATAAAGATTCTTTTTTGGAATAAAAAAATGAAGTCCAAAAAACTTGCCACATCTTTTTGTTTTATTGAATCTTTGCTTCATGAAATTTCGTGTAAAAATTTTTAAATAAAAACTTTTTTGGGTCAAGGTTTTTTTTTTAAGAACCAAAATAACAAAATTTGAAGTTCCAACAAGACCCCCAAATGGAATTTTGCTTTCAAGAAAAATAACACATAAATTATCAATTATAAACTTACTCTTCAGTCTTAGGTAGATCTTTACTAAACACATCATATCCAATTTCCAAATTGAACCAAATGCTCAGAAAAAAATCTCACAAAATAAGATTTAAACTTTTTTTTCCTAAGCAAAAATGCTCTGTAAAGTGTTAATAAAGCATCTTAAGATTGTAGCAGCTTTTTATTACTACTCTCTTACAAGAAACAAAACGAATTTAGGCCCTCTGAGCTTTTGATTATCCCTAAATGAATTAAATAATTTTGATTTTTTTTCAAGTCTGTACTAAACCTTATATTAATTCATTAACCAATTATGTTTTGGGCAAAAATTCTTTGATCATAATTACAATTGTCCAGATTTGTTAAGGGGTTTTATTTATTTTATATTTTATCGGCAATTCAACACAAAAAAGTCATACATCTAGTTATGGCAGGCTGTTGTTGTTTTTCCCTGCCGGTCAACGCACAAAGTTAGACTAATCCGTTTCTGTCATCAACTCGCACATTCCGCTTCCTTATATGAAGAAAGGTTTAAGTAAATATGTAGGCAATGACATAAAAGAGATAATAAATCGTTTTCTTAAAAACATATTAGTTTTACAAGTTTTGAGACCATAGGTTTTAATAAAGGTAATCTTGAAGTAATTAAAAAAAATGATTACATACGTCTTACCATTTGCGGACCAATTCACTTAAACATTTTCATGAAATATCATTTTCTTGATTTGAAGCTACATGTCATACCCTGGAAGATTTATGTGGTAATATTTTGCTAACACTAGAACCATATCTACTCTCTCAACAATGAACCTTTCCAGTCTATAGCAAATCTGGACGTAAGAGGTGTAGAAGCTGCACACACGACGAACCTTCTTGCAAGTAATAAGTGCCTGGTCCTGTCGAAATCGTGACCAGAGTCTTGATCAACTTCACGGTGTCTACAAGTCCCTTGAATATCCTAAAGAAGCTGAATTTTAATAAAAAGCAAAGTTCAAAAAACTATTATCTCCCTACTCTTGGACGCATTACACAATGTTATGAAAAATACTTCTGTTTAAATTAAAATTTAGAACTGAAAAAGACTGTGAATTATAGAAACCTATACATCAATCTCGTTATATTTTAATAACATTATCATTTGTTGCAAGTAAAATTTCGTTCAAACTTACCTCCACCAGTAATGAAATCTGTTCTTTTTACCAAAACCATCTTCTTTTGACATATACCGCTACTAGTAAGCAACCATGGGGATGAATCCAAACATCAGCAAAAATAACCGATGACAACGCATGTTAGTAACACTGGAAATATTTTTAAATCAATATTACACAACAGATTTTAATTACAACACAATATGTTTATAGTTTAGCGAAAAATAACCGGCAACCCGCGTGGCCAGGACATCGCAACTGAAATTATTATGAAGTGGAAAAATGCAAAATAGCAAATGGGGACACAAAGAACATTTTTTTGATGGTAGTAATTTTGATTAGAAGTTTACATTTTAGCGAAAAACAACACGTAGCCAGGACATCGCAACGGAAAATTTACAATACAAGTACCATATGTTTACATTTTAGTGAAAGAAAAAACAACGACAACACGTAGCCAGGACATCGCAACGGAAGATATTATGACACCGGTTGGACAATTTGAAACCAGAATTGTAATAAAATTAAAGGAACCATACAGTATTTTCTAGATGGAAGTAATTGTAATTTAATATACATGTTAGTTACACAGGAAGTATTTTTAACGATATTACACAGCAGATTTTAATTACAACACAATATATTAACAGTTTAGCGAAAACAACCGACAACCCGCGTGGCCAGGACATCGCAACTGAAATTATTATGACATATTTTGACAAGTGGAAAACAGCAAAATAAAAATAGGGGGCACAAAGAACTTTTTTGTTCGTAGTTATTTTGATTAGTAGGAGTTTACATTTTAGCAAAAAAAAACCGACAACACACGCCGGGACATCGCAAAGGAAAATTTAAAAGAACCATATGTTTACATTTTAGTGAAAACTAACCGACGACAACTCGTAGCCAGGACATCGCAACGGAAGATATTATGACACAGGTTGGACAATTTGAAACCAGAATTGTAATAACATTAAAGGAACAATACATTATGTTTTGGAAGGAAGTAATTGTAATTTAATATACATGTTAGTAACACTGAAAATATTTTTTAACGATATTACACAACAGATTTTAATTACAACACAATATGTTTACAGTTTAGCGAAAACAACGACACATCCGCGTGCCAGGAATCGCATGACTGAAATTATTATGACATTTTGACAGTTAGGAAAACAAGCAAAATAATGTATAGGGGACACAAAGAACTATTTTTGTGGTGTAATTTTGATTAGTAGAAGTTACATTTTATGCAAAAAATAACCGATAACGTAGCAGGACATCGCAGGAAAATTTACAATACGAAGTACATATGTTTTTAATTTTAGTGAAAATAAACCGACGACAACTCGTAGCGCAGGACATCGCAACAGAAGATATGACACAGGTTGGACAATTTGAAACCAGAATTGTAATAGAATTAAAATAACCATACAGTATTTTTTGAATGGAAGTAATTGTAATTATCATATTCATGTTAGTTACATTGGCAATACTTTTTTAAACAAATATTAGACAACAGATTTTAATTACAACCCAAGTAAAATATGTTTACTTTTTAGCGGAAAATAACCGACGACCCGCGTGGCCAAGATCTCGACATCGCATTTGTAATAATTATGACACATATTTGACAATTGGAAAACAGCAAAATAGAAATAAAAGGTTCATACAGTATATGTGGGAAAAATTATAATTTAAATATACATGTTAATAGCATTTGAAATACATATTTTAACAAAATATTAGACAACAGATTATAACGACCAGAAAAGCACAATATCTTGACATTAACAGTAAAAATTCACAGTGAACTGCATGGCCAGGACATCCGAACGGACAATAGTCCAACACACCGGGACTCTCGAAGAATCGATACCAGTCTTCATCAACTTTCACAGTGTCTGCCAAGTCCTTCATTGCTCCAGGTGTCACAGCTCTTATGTCAACCTTCCAGCTGTATTTGCAGATGTGTCCCTAAGTGCAATAAGATAGAAAAGGACCGGTGACAATTATTTCAAAAAGTAAATATTTACTTTATCTAAACAAACTTTAAAAACTCAACATATTACAATTAATTTGTTGTTTTTAAGACATATGACGACAATCAAGCTCTTTTGTTACATGAAGATTTGCGTCTAAGTGCAATCTTGAAGTAATTAAACAAATTGCTTACCATAATCATCATTTCCGACCAATTCACTTTAAATATTTGCATGAATCATTTTTCTTGATTTAAACTACATGTAATACCTGGATTAATGTGGAAATATTTTCTAACAATACACCATATCCATCTCTCTCAACAATGAAACAACTTAAAGTCTTACAAATATGCCAGTACAGAAAGCTGCTTCAAACACGAAACCTTCTTGCGAGTAAATAAGTGCCGGTCCTCTCGAAAGAATCGTGATCAGTCTTGATCAACTTCCACGGTGTCTGCCAAAGCCTTCAATAGCTGAATAATAAAAAAGCAAAGTCCAAAAACTAATAATCTCCTACTCTTGGACATTAAACAATTTATGACAAAATACTTCTGTTTAGATAATAATTTAGAACTGAAAAAAAAAAACCTTTATTTTGAATTATAGAAGACTATACAAACAATTAATTAGTTGTTTTTTAAGTCATATGGCAACAATCAAGCTCCTTTGGTACATGAAGATTTGCGTCTAAGTGCAATGTTTCAGGCAAGGGGTTGCACCAGAGTATAACCAATAAACTTCCAACTGCTAGCTAACAAGACAACCTATATTTGACAATTTCTATTATCTGTAAAATATACCTTATTGAAATTATTACTTATTTATTGAATAACCCTTTCAAATATATTTTTACTTACACAATACTAATGCTCCATCATGCAACTTCCCAACACAAACTTTTCACCAATGTTACACAACCATCCACATTCCGACATTATCCACCATCACAACGTTGGACACCAATCTAGCATTCATTTTCAAGGGTTTACTGAAAGGTCACTAGGGTTAGCAGAACAACAGTCAAATAGCAAAAATTTGCCGATATATGAATTGTTTCTATCAAGAGTAGGTATTTAAGTAGAACCACCTAACTATCTTAAAGTAGCTTGCAAGTCAAACTACAATAAACAAAGCTATGGGAATTTCCTCGTCCAAGCAAAAGTCTAGCCCATTATACAAAATGGAAATAGCAGTAATTATAACGACATATTTATTTGATTTTACAGGAATTTCAAACCATCTTTTATGAACATCAACATGACTCATTACCTTTAATTAGAATTACCCGTGACATCAAAGGGAAAGTTTTACCTAACAATACACTATGTCCATCACTCTCCACACTGAAACAACTTCCAATCTTACAAATCTGCCGGCACAGAGGTGTAGAAAGCTGCCCAAACACGACTGCTTCTTGCGAGGTATATCAGCACCGGGACTCTCGAAGAATCGATACCAGTCTTGATCAACTTTCACAGTGTCTGCCAAGTCCTTCATTGCTTGCTGCCAGTAGCTCAAAGCTCTTCTGCCACAATGGCAACTCTCCAGCTGTATTTGCAGATGTGTCCCTAAGTGCAATGCATGTTTAGACAAGGGCCGGAGACAATTATCTTAAAATGTAAAATATTTACTTTATCTTTACAAACTTTTTAAACTGAAAATATTACAATTATATTTGTTGGTTTATAAGTCATATGGCGACACTCCAGCTCTTTTTGTACATGACAATGTGCGTCTAAGTGCAATGTTTCAGGCAAGGGGTTGCACCAAAGTATAACCATTAAACTTCCATCTGCTAGCTAACGAGGGCAACCTATATTTGACAATTTTATTATCTGTAAATTATACCTTATTAAAATTATTACATATTTATTAAATAACCCTTTCAAATATATTTTTACTTTACACAATACTAATGCTCCTGATCATGGCAACTTCCCAACACAAACTTTTCACCCATGTTACACAACCATCCACATTCCGATATTTATCCACCATCACAACGTAGGACACTAATCTAGCATTCATTTTCAAGGGTTTACTGAAAGGTCACTAAGGTTAGCAGAACAACAGTCAAATAGCAAAATGTAAATATTTACTATAAACAAATCTTTTTAAAATTTAACTAGTAACAAATTAACTTTATTTCTTTTTAAGTCATATGGCGACATTCAAGCTAAATGGATAAATAAAATTTGCCGATATATGAATTGTTTCTATCAAGAGTAGGTATTTAAGTAGAACCACCTAACTATCTTAAAGTAGCTTGCAAGTCAAACTACAATTAACAAAGCCATGGGAATTTCCTGGTCCAAGCAAAAGTATAGCCCATTATACAAAATGGAAATAGCAGTAATTATAACGACATATTTATTTGATTTTACAGGAATTTCAAGCCATCTTTTATGGAATATCTACATGACTCATTACCTTTAATGAGAATTACCCAAGGACATCAAAGGGAAAGTTTTACCTAACAATACACTATGTTCCATCTCTCTCCACACTGAAACAACTTCCAATCTTACAAATCTGCCGGCACAGAGGTGTTAGAAAGCTGCCCCAACACGACTGCTTCTTGCGAGTATATCAGCACCGGGACTCTCGAAGAATCGATACCAGTCTTGATCAACTTTCACAGTGTCTGCCAAGTCCTTCATTGCTCCTGTACTCAAAGCTCTTCTGCCACATGGCAACTCTCCAGCTGTATTTGCAGATGTGTCCCTAAGTGCAATGCATGTTATAGACAAGGGCCGGAGACAATTATCTTAAAATGTAAATATTTACTTTATCTTAACAAACTTTTTAAACTCAAAATATTACAATTAATTTGTTGGTTTATAAGTCATGTTATGGCGACACTCCAGCTCTTTTTGTACATGAAAATGTGCGTCTAAGTGCAATGTTTTCAGGCAAGGGGTTGCACCAGAGTATAACCAATTAAATTTTCATCTGCCAAGCTAACGGAAGGCAAAAACCTATATTTGACAATTTCTATTATCGGGTAAATTTTAACCCTTAATTGAATTTATTTTACTTATTTAATTGACACCAACCCTTTTTCAACCTTCCACCAATCTTAATCGCCCTTCTCCAAATCAATTGCCAAACTTTTTCCCAAACAAACAAAAAACCACTTTTTCAAAACCCAATGGTTACACTAAACCCATCACCACATTTCGATTATTCTGCCAACAACTACAAAACCGTAAGGAAAACCAAACTAGGTCTAGCCATTTCATTTCAAGGGTTTTTACCTGAAAAAAAAGGTTTCCCACTAAGGTTTTTAGCAAGAACCAACAGTTGTCCCCCCCCCATAGCAAAAAATGGTTTTAAATTAATTTTAACTATAAACAATCTTTAAAAATTTAACTAGTAACAAATTAGGCTTTATTTCTTTTGAAGTCATAGTGGCGACATTCACGCTAAATGGATAAATAAAATTTGCCGATATATGAATTGTTTCTATCAAGAGTAGGTATTTAAAGTAGAACCACCGTAACTATCTTAAAGTAGCTTGCAAGTCAAACTACAATTAACAAAAGCCATGGGAATTTCCTGTCCAAGCAAAAGTATAGCCATTATACAAAATGGAAATAGCAGTAATTATAACGACATATTTATTTGATTTTTACAGGAATTTCAAGCCATCTTTTTATGAATATCTACATGACTCATTACCTTTAATGAGAATTACCCGTGACATCAAAGGGCAAGTTTTACCTAACAATACACGTGTCCATCTCTCTCCACACTGAAACAACTTCCAATCTTACAATCTGCCGGCACAGAGTTGTAGAAAGCTGCCCCAAACACGACTGCTTCTTGCGAGTATATCAGCACCGGGACTCTCGAAGAATCGATACCAGTCTTGATCAACTTTCACAGTGTCTGCCAAGTCCTTCATTGCTCCTGTACTCAAAGCTCTTCTGCCACATGGCAACTCTCCAGCTGTATTTGCAGATGTGTCCCTAAGTGCAATGCATGTTATAGACAAGGGCCGGAGACAATTATCTTAAAATGTAAATATTTACTTTATCTTTACAAACTTTTTAAACTGAAAATATTACAATTAATTTGTTGGTTTATAAGTCATATGGCGACACTCCAGCTCTTTTTGTACATGAAAATGTGCGTCTAAGTGCAATGTTTCAGGCAAGGGGTTGCACCAAAGTATAACCATTAAACTTCCATCTGCTAGCTAACGAGGCAACCTATATTTGACAATTTCTATTATCTGTAAATTATACCTTATTGAAATTATTACATATTTATTGAATAACCCTTTCAAATATATTTTTACTTACACAATACTAATGCTCCATCATGCAACTTCCCAACACAAACTTTTCACCAATGTTACACAACCATCCACATTCCGACATTATCCACCATCACAACGTTGGACACCAATCTAGCATTCATTTTCAAGGGTTTACTGAAAGGTCACTAGGGTTAGCAGAACAACAGTCAAATAGCAAAATGTAAATATTTACTATAAACAAATCTTTTTAAAATTTAACTAGTAACAAATTAGCTTTATTTCTTTTTAAGTCATATGGCGACATTCAAGCTAAATGGATAAATAAAATTTGCCGATATATGAATTGTTTCTATCAAGAGTAGGTATTTAAGTAGAACCACCTAACTATCTTAAAGTAGCTTGCAAGTCAAACTACAATTAACAAAGCCATGGGAATTTCCTGGTCCAAGCAAAAGTATAGCCCATTATACAAAATGGAAATAGCAGTAATTATAACGACATATTTATTTGATTTTACAGGAATTTCAAGCCATCTTTTATGAACATCTACATGACTCATTACCTTTAATGAGAATTACCCGTGACATCAAAGGGCAAGTTTTACCTAACAATACACTATGTCCATCTCTCTCCACACTGAAACAACTTCCAATCTTACAAATCTGCCGGCACAGAGGTGTAGAAAGCTGCCCCAAACACGACTGCTTCTTGCGAGTATATCAGCACCGGGACTCTCGAAGAATCGATACCAGTCTTGATCAACTTTCACAGTGTCTGCCAAGTCCTTCATTGCTCCTGTACTCAAAGCTCTTCTGCCACATGGCAACTCTCCAGCTGTATTTGCAGATGTGTCCCTAAGTGCAATGCATGTTATAGACAAGGGCCGGAGACAATTATCTTAAAATGTAAATATTTACTTTATCTTTACAAACTTTTTAAACTGAAAATATTACAATTAATTTGTTGGTTTATAAGTCATATGGCGACACTCCAGCTCTTTTTGTACATGAAAATGTGCGTCTAAGTGCAATGTTTTCAGGCAAGGGGGTTGCACCAAAGTATAACCATTAAACTTTTCCATCTGCTAGCTAACGAGGCAAACCTATATTTTGACAATTTCTATTATCTGTAAATTATACCTTAATTGAAATTATTACATATTTATTGAATAACCCTTTCAAAATTATATTTTTACTTTACACACAATACTAATGCCTCCATCATGCAAACTTTCCCCAAACACAAAACCTTTTTTTCCAAACCAATGTTAGCACAACCCAATCCCCCACATTCCCGACATTAAATCCATCCATCACGAACGTTGGACACCAATCTAGCATTCAATTTTCAAGCGGTTTTTACTTGAAAGGTCACTAGGGTTAGCAGAACAACAGTCATGCAAAAATGTAATATGGTTACTATAAACAATCTTTTTAAAATTTAAACAAGTTAACAATTAGCTTTATTTCTTTTTAGTCAAGGGCGACATTCAGCTTAAATGGATAATAAAATGTGTGCCGATATATGAATTGGTTCTTATCAAGAAAGTAAGGGTAAAATTTAAGGTTAGAAATGACGTAAACCCTAATCTTAAAGTAGCCCCTTTTTGCAAAAAGGTCCCAAACTTACAATTTTAGACAAAAGGGCCAAAATGGGAAAATTTTTCCTGTCCCCCAAGCAACAGTTTATATTAGCCCCAAATGAAAAATACCAAAATGGAAAAAAATAGCCAAGTAAAATTAATAGACGACCAATATTTAAATTTTGGAAAAATTTTACAGGAAAAATTTTTCAGCCATCCGCTTTTTATGAAAAAAATCTACTGAAAAACTTTCATTTTTTACCTTTTAAATGAAGATTACCCAAGACATCAAAAGGGAAGTTTTTTTAACGCTAACAATGAAACCCTTGTTTATCTTCTCTCACACTGAAACAGACTTCCCAATCTTAACAAATTCCTGCCGCCCAAAAAAAGAGGGTTTTGTAGAAAAAGCCTCCCCAAACACGAACTGGGCTTCTTGGCGAAGTTATCAGCACCGGGACTTCTCGAAGAATCGATACCATCTGATTCAACTTTCAAGTGTCTGCCAAGTCCTTTCTTTTTGCCTTTCCTTGTTAACTCCCAAAGGCTTTTCTTTCCTTGCCCACATGGCAAAT